CAGGTAAAAGTAAAGATAAAGGTTCCCCTCGGACATATGTGCTAGTCATTCCCAGCTCTAGGGAGTGGTGCAGTGGTGGGATTCAAATTTTTTTACTACTGACTCTGGGGGTGGCTTGATGGGCATGGCAGGGGAAGGATACTGCAAAATCCCCATTCCCTCCCCACCCCACTAACCTGCTTTCCAGCTCCGTTCTCCTGTGCAGGGCAACAAAAAAAGACCCAGCCAATCAGCTGGGACTCGGGAGGCAGAGAATAGATGGGGGCAGGGCCAGTCAGAGGTGGTATTTGCTAGTTCTCCGAACTACTCAAAATTTCTGCTACCGGTTCTCCAGAACTGGTCAGAACCTGCTGACTCTCATCTCTGGGACGGTGCTCATCTCCGTTACAAAACTGAAGAGCCAGCGCTGTCCAAAGACGTCTCCATGGTCACGTGGCCAGCATGACTAAATGCCAAAGGTGCACGGAACGCTGTTACCTTCCCACCAAAGGAGGTCCCTATTTTTCTATTTGCATTTGTAGATGCTTTCGAACTGCTAGGTTGGCAGAAGCTGGGACAAGTAACGGGAAATCACTCTGTTACATGGCGCTAGGGATTCGAACTGTTATACAGAAAATGAGCTAAAACCCAAGAGAAATTAATTCCATCGGAGCCACAATTGGACTTGTGCCTCAGTTCTCCAGATCAGCCCCCTCCAACCTGGGGTCCTATAGATTCAACTACATCTCCCAAATTCTACAATGGTCAAGAATCCAAAGAGTTGTGGACTTCCAGTTTGAGCTTCTTTGGCAACAGACCGAAACCTCATCTCTGCGAGGCTTCGATCTGTGCTCGCCGCTGGACGCCCCCAGCCGGCTGGTTTTGGGGCTAAGCCACCCTGTAGAGGTGGTGAAGAGGGGGGAGACTGCTTGCAGGGTTGAGGAGAGCCGCATCTCTCCTCCCCAGCTGGCCATTACTCCTTTTCCCGAAGGTGGTTGTAGCGGTGGTCAGAAATGGCCACCACAAAGAAGAACTCAACCGGAAAAGAATGTGCAGGAGGAAGATAAGAAGAGAAAGTTTTGGTTGACCGGGTCAAACAGCAAAAGCAACAAATAAGGTACCCTGGAATTGAAACTATTAAAAAAAAACAATAACATTGTTCCCTAAGAAGATTTTTAAGCTGCGAAGGAGAGAGAAAAGGGAAAAGATTTGGTTTTTTTTTCTCCTTTTCCTGTACTGACAGCTAAGAGACTTAAGCAAGAAATTGGAAAAAAATCCACTTTGACATTAATAGGCATTTAATGCTGAAAATAAAAAGTCAAAGGGATAATAAAGATTTCTGGATAATCAAAAGCTTTTGAAAACAGGAAAGGAGAGAAAAAGAATAAAAGGGCAGGATCTGGAAGGGAGGAGACTGCCTGGAATTAAAAAGAACTTACAGCAAAATCTCAACAAGACTTCCAAAAAATACATTCTAACTGAAATATCGCAACAAAAACCCCAGGAAGAGAAAGTGGAAAAAGAAATAAGAAGATATAACTTGGGACTATTTGGATTACTTGAAGATTTCTGGATTTTTGGTTATTGTATTTGAATGACTAAAATCAATCGGGTGGTTGTTTAAAACTGTTTAAAATGGCTCCACTTTTAGAAGAACTGAAAATGGAACTTAAAAAGTACAAAGAAGATGCACAAGAAGGGAGACGTACTTTTGGCTTTGTATTTCAGTTTTTAGAAATGGAGATTTGGAATTATGAGAAACAACAAGAAATGCCTGCAGAACAAGAAGATTGCGACAAAGAAGAAGCCATCTTTAATGAACAAGTAATCTTAGGTGGGGGGGGAAGGAAAGCGGGGGAAGAGAATGGAAAGATTAAGATTGGGAAAAACAACTCCAAAAAAAAAAACAGTGAAAAATAAGTACAAAATCAGAAAGCAACAGAAGAGGGAAATGCAGAAGAGAGAATTAGAAGTAGAGAGACAAGGGGATAAAAAGGGGAGGGAGAAGATGAGAGGGAAGAAAGAAAAGAAAAGAAGTTATAAAGGACAGAAACAAAATATAGAGAAACAGGGCCTATTTGGAGATAATGGGTGAAAATTTAATGAAAAAAGGGATTCTGCAAAGGCATAAGATAGTATTGTTATATTAGAAACAGAAATAATTTTAGAAAATATGAAACAATATATGATTAAAATGTTTGATAAAATAGCTATCGTAATTCAGTGGATGCTTGTCAATAAATAAATGTAACAAAATGAATATTTAATGATTTACAAAACATACATGAAGAGAAATAAGGGAAAAATTAATTATGGAGATTATATGTGTCTTTAAGGAAGTATGATATTTAATTGAAAAGAAGTGTTAAACATGTTAAGATTTTAATGATTATTAATGATAGAACTGAATTGGAATGGAATGAGGGTTTATAATTACATATATTTACAATCCTTTTTTTTTTAAAGAATATAGTGTGTATTATAAGAATGTACCAAGCAGAGTTCGATTGGAAGTTATGTATTATGTATTATATTGAAGGTATATATTGAAGTTTAAATAAGAGTTGAATGGATGTAATTAAAAGATATAAAGGTGTCATACTCCAATTAGTAACTACAGGAGAAAATCTGTTTAATGAGAAAAGATAATATGAAATTGAAACAGAACAGACAAAAGTATAAATATAATTATTTGAATTGAGATGAGATAATCAAAATAAAATTGAGAAAATTAAAAGAGGGGAAAAACTATATAGAAAATGTAGAATAATATAGATATGGAATAGAACACAAAAAGGAACATGAAATTGAGTTTTGTGTCTGTATAAAGAAGTTCAACCCGGGACCATGCTATTTTCAAAAAAGATGTTTTACTTGTATTTTGTGTGTGAAAATCCAAATAAAACTTTATTTAAAAAAAAAAGAATCCAAGGAGTTGTAAAGGCAGCATTTCTGGCAATACTGGGATATCTCGAACACTGCATCCAGTTTTGGTCACCACACTATAAAAAAAATGTTGAGACTCTAGAAAAAATGCAGAGAAGAGCAACCAAGACGATTAGGGGACTGGAGACTAAAACATATGAAGAACGGTTACAGAACTGGCCATGGCTAGTCTAGTGAAGAGAAGGACCAGGGGAAACATGATAGCAGTCTTCCGATATTTGAGGGGCTGTCACACAGACGAGTGGGATCAACCTGTTTTCCAAAGTACCCAAAGGCCAGACAAGGAATAATGGATGGAAATTGATCAAGGAGAGATTCAACCTAGAAATAAGGAGAAATTTTCTGACAGTGAGAACAATCAACCCATGGAACCGCTTGCCTTTGAAAGTTGTGGGAGCTTCACCACTGGAAGCTTTCAAGAAGAGACTCGACTGCCACCTGTCAGAAATAGTGTAGAGTTTCCTGCTTTGGCAAGGGGTTGGACTAGATAACTTACAAGGTCCCTTTCAATTCTGTTAATCTGTTAATCTAGCTTCTAGACAGACATTCGCCTACCCCCTTGATGGAGAACCTATGGCACGTGAGCCCCAGCCAAACTTACCTGCACTGCACATGTGCACGCCTCCCAGTTGATTTTCAGCCCGTTTGAGGCCGTTTTCGCCCTCCCAGAGGCTCGAGCAAAGCCTCTGCAACCTCGGGAAGCTGAAAAACGGGCCTTCTGGAAATACCGAAAGTGCCGAAACAGGCCCATTTTCAGCCTCCTGGGGCTCCAGAGGCCTCCCTAGAGCCTCCGGGAGGGCGAAAATGGCCTTCCCCAGGCTTGAGTCCCTCCAGAGGCTGAAAATAGGCACTTCCGGTATTACCTGCAGTGCAGGTAAGAGGGCGGGGTGGGGGTGTTGCATGTGGATGTGCATGCGCAGGGTGGGCGGGGCGCATTGCATTGTAGGTACCGGCATGCATGCACGCTTTCGGCACACCACAACAAAAAGGTTCGCTATCACTGGCCTAGCCTATACATGAGAGTCAAACCCAAGTTTAGGCTTCTCAAAGGCTGCCTGTATACAGCTGGGCTGAGCTGGCCTACAGTTGGCCAAATAGCTCAGAACAATCTACTATGACTGATGAGAGGTCTCCAAATTCTTAAGTAAGCTGTTTCCTTGTCATGCTTGAATGACAAGCATACTTGAAGCCATTATCCTTCCTCAAATTTAGAAAATAAGAAAAAAAAATTAAATGTGAAGAAGAATAAGATGGAAACGTGCAGTATTATTATAGTGCTGAAGCGCTCCTATCGTCAGAACTCTGTCAAAATGGGAGGGGACACATCCCCAATTCTAATCAGTGTTTCAAAGCAGCTGGATACTTTCTCAAGGTCATCTGTAGTTCTAGCTAATAAACTGGTTCTACAAAGCTAAATAACTACATACCCTAGACATGCGTAACCAAGATACAATAAATGGGAGGTGGATTGTCCCATACTGATAATACTGTACTTCTGTCCTTCCCCTCCAAATTCTAGTCTTGGAAACATGCACGTTGTGACATATTAAATACATCCATCTAAGTGGGTTTTAATGTTTGCTGATAACCACCTCCAAATGTTATTCTGCCTGCCTCCCACAAGCATCATTCACATGTGTCTCTAAACCTGAAAAGATGTCCTTGGCCTATACAGTTGATATCTCAACTTAGGGCATTTCAAATTCTCTCCTTGAGTTTGCAGGGGAGTTGTTTTTCCTAGGATGAACGCAGCTGTCTTGTGGGAGGTGATTTTCTTTCTTTCTATGGTATCTCAGAAACATAGGAATAAAGGCAGATCTAGTAGAGGTTCATTTTGTCCTTCCTTGACTACATTCATTGCCTCCCTCCCCTGTTCGTTTGTGGTCACTAGCTGATAGGAGTCAGTCCCATCCCACACACCGGAGCTTGCCAAGTCCTTCCCACCTGGGCCCGGAGGAAAGACACCAAAGCGGGCAAGCTGGGTTTATATGCCCAGACCAGGTGCTGTTGGAAGATAGATGGGGTTCCACAGCTTTCTCCTTTGGCTTTTTATGCTGGAACAGCAAAGTAGGTATATGGATGCCCTGAGCAAAAACCGTAGCTGTGTCTCCTATGGATCCAATGCTCTGACTGAGGGACTGGAGCATCTTCAGGGCTTAATCTTGGAAGATGGCCGCAATGGCACGATCCAGTGTCCTCACAACCAGTGCTGTTTTGGCATCTGGGACCTGAACCAAGGACAACTTCAAGCCAAGGTGCAAGGTGAGGACAAATGGAAGATGGAACGAGGGAGCGAGGGTGAAATGGAAGCAGAATATCAGCAAGCACGTTGAGTATTTTCTGTTTCTTGCTAGCAAAGGCGAGTGGGATTTTTTTTTAATGTAAGAATATGTGAGTTAGGGAAATAATTCTGTCATCTGCTCCTGTTCAAAAGTATACATTTCAGGATCTTTTATATTTTTGCCATAAAGCAGGAGATCATAAAGCACAGGGTATGTTTTTTAAGTAGGTTTCATCAGCTTAAAATTTTACTAACCAATCATACTAGCCCAGATTGGAAATGGGGATTGAGTCTAGAGGGCAAAATTCAAGATGCAACTGCTATTTCTGTGGTTCTTTGTCTGACATGCATCAAATTTAAAGACACTGTATGTGTGGATAAGGTTTCTGAGGATTGATCTGTTCATGCATTTTGGTCAACTGATGTCTCACCTCTGGCTGATTCCAGCTGAATGGCTGAATTATACTCCCTGTTGGAGTATAGGAAGTAAAGAGATAAAATTTGAGGTTGCCTCACTGAAATGTATGTTCTTCCCTTGAAATTTGTAGACATCAAGTATTCACTTACTTTTGCAAATGCATGCCAACAACAAATGGAACCTTTTCACATTGGTAGCTTTACACTTCTGCTTGTTTTAACTCATCTTCCCTAAACCTAAGAGATATGGTAGGTTGTAAGTAGACCTTGTATCTCCGAGGTGGGCGCATTTTATGATCTTTTGCTCAAATATTGAAGTTTCTTATTAAGCGGTACATCAATCATGTTTTATTAGACATAGTGAGATTATTTGGAGAGATTGTTCTACTTCCATTCTTGCTGAAAGGAACTCACTTTAGCAGGACTTTTGTCTATTTCATCTTCTCCTTTTAACAACTCTTGAAGGTACAGTAGCCTAAGAAAATAATGCCTAGTTAGTTGGTTGAGGTCCACTCAATTAGTTTCATAGTTGGGTGAAGATTTGAATCTGCTTCTCTCACGTTTCTATTCTTTTGACCACAATCACCCAGGTGTCAGCTATTCTAATAATATTTAACTTTACCTTTTTGAAGGAAAGAGAGATTAGGAAATAGAGGGGGTGTTTGCATCTCTAGAAATATGTTCCTCAATAAGCATGTTGGGCTATAATTCTAATCTGTGAATTTGGGAAGTTATACACCAAAATATCTGCAGAGCAGCAGACTGAAAAGAGATTCCAGATTTGTATGGTCTTTAAAAAAAAAAAAAAATCCCCAACTTTAAATCCTTAAGATTCACTACTTAGGACTTAAGTGGTACTTAGGACTTAAGTGTTTGACTAGTAGCTCGCTGAGCAAATATGCACTGAGATGAACAATGGGATAAACATAGCACAACAGGTAAACACATTAAATGGCAAGTATGAGTATTTGCTCTACTTGGGAATCTCTCACAGTAGCCAGAGCAAAACTCTCAACCTCTTCATCCAAATATTCAAGTTCCTGATTTTCCTCTTCCCCTGAATCCCCCCTCCCCATGCTTCCAAGGAGGTTCTCTTGCTTTCAGCAACCAGCAAAAGATTTTGGAGTTAAACTGAAAAGCCAATCGTTTTGCACATCTTCTGCAAGTCATCTAGAGATCTCGCCCAGTACATTCCAGTCTATTTTTGGCCCATCCCTCCCTGGGAAAAAGACTGCAAACTGGCTCTTTTTACAGAGATATCTACTGCTTTCTCTGTTCTCCAACTGAATCCCGCCCGGGAGCAGCAGTTACCATGGAGAGCAGCAAGGAAGATAAGGTCAGAGTACGCACTATGCAAGTGTGTAGCAAACCCCCCCCCCCCCCATTCCTGCCTTCTTTGTCTAACAGCCACACTTGCACTGGGCTGACTACCAGAGACTTGAGCGGGAGAGCTTAGCATTTCCTGATCTTTCCATGTAAAGACCGAGGCTCTTATTTTCTACCATGGGATTCCTTTCACCAATTATTAGACTATGATTCCCCAAGGAATGCTAAGTCGGACGCCACACAATGCTTCTAGAGAAGGAGAGTATCTGGTTTGAAGGAAACAGAGATACTAACAGAGGTCAAGGTCATCCGAAGAGGTCTGAGAGGCCACGGGCATTTTGGGCGGGAAAACTTTTTGTTGATTTTCCATTGAGTGACTCTGTAGATTCTTCTTCGTATGAGTCTCCCCCCCCCCTGAATATTGCGTTGGGGCAAGCTATCAACAGAAATCTCTCTTGCACATATACTGTATATCATTGGGGCGGGCAATTAATTTTCCCACTTGAGAAACTGGGACTGTTATGGAGGGCCGAACCAATAGGCTGAAAAGGTTTTGATTAGCTGCTACTGGTAAGAATGCACATTACATCTTATTTACGTAGGATTTCTAATTTCTGACTGGCCTCGTGCAGACCAGAAAGGGACAGCCAAAAGGCCAGGATGGTCTGTAAAATGCCCAGGTCTGGTGGACAGGTAGTCCTCGACATACAACAGTTTGTTTAGTCACTGCTCAAAGTTACAACAGCACTGAAAAAAGTGACTTATGACC